AGGTGTGTGTGTGTAGAATGTTGCTCCTATTTTGATTTTGGAATTCACTCTTCAGTTGTCAAAATGCCGTCTAAGCAAGATGAGCAGCGTATTAAAATTTTTCTCGCACGTCGCGAAAATCCGAGCTACTCGCACGCAAAGTTGGCAAAATCGCTAAAAGTTGCCAAATCAACCGTTACAAATGTAATTAAAGTGTTTGGGGAACGTTTGTCGACAGCCAGGAAGTCTGGATCGGGGGGAAATCGAAAACCGGAAGCCGCTGAGACGACAAAGAGAGTTGCCGGTAGTTTCAAGCGAAACCCTAACCTCTCTCTCCGAGATGCCGCAAATAAGCTGGGTGTATCGTCTACAACCATGCATCGAGCCAAAAAAACGAGCCGGACTATCGACTTACAAGAAGGTAGTGACTCCAAATCGCGATGATAAACAAAATACGACGGCCAAAGCGCGATCCCGGAGGCTGTACACGACGATGCTGACGAAGTTTGACTGCGTGGTAATGGACGACAAAACCTACGTCAAAGCCGACTACAAGCAGCTTCCGGGACAGGAGTTTTATACGGCAAAAGGAAGGGGAAAGGTAGCAGATGTTTTCAAGCACATGAAACTGTCAAAGTTCGCAAAGAAATATCTGGTTTGGCAAGCCATCTGTACCTGTGGCTTGAAAAGCAGCATTTTCATAGCTTCCGGGACTGTCAACCAAGAAATTTACGTGAAAGAGTGTTTGAATAAACGTCTGCTGCCTTTCCTAAAGAAACACGGTTGTTCCGTACTGTTTTGGCCGGATTTGGCATCTTGCCATTACGGTAAAAAGGCCATGGAGTGGTACGCCGCCATGAACGTGCAGGTGGTTCCCAAGGACAAGAACCCTCCCAACACGCCAGAGCTCCGCCCAATTGAGAAATACTGGGCTATTGTCAAGCGGAACCTAAAGAAGACCAAAAGAACTGCTAAGGGCGAGCAGCAGTTCAAGGCAAACTGGCTTTCTGCGGTGAAGAAGGTGGACAAGGTGGCTGTACAAAATCTGATGGCAGGGGTCAAGCGTAAGGCCCGGCAATTCGGATTTGGAAAAGCGGAAGCCTAACTGAATATTTTTCCTGAATTTTATACTAATTGAACTTGAAAAAGAAATTTAATTTGATTTTTTAAATAAACGATTTCACCGATTTACACGCGTTTTCCCTTGACCAAATTTTGACCGTATCACCCTTTATAAAATTCGATGAGCTCGTATTTTTATGTGTTCATACGATGCAGCTTATGAAAATTGAAGGGACAGTTTCCTCAGTGTAGATATCAGTGAAGTTTTTAGCTATCCTAAAAATGAACCCTAAAGTTCTTGACGCCTTATCAACAACATATGCGATGTGTTGCTTGAATGAAAGCTGCGAATCCAAGATCACCCCAAGTCTTTCACCTGATTCACGCGTTCGATTGTCGAGCCAAGCAGGTCATAGCTAAATATTATCGGTTGTTGTTTTCGTGAGAACGTAATAGCGGAGCATTTGGCTGGGTGCACTATCATTCTGTTTAAACTGCACCAACTAGCGAATACATTCAGCTGACGTTGAAGAAAGCGGCAGTCAGCAATAGAGCAGATTCGTAATTAGATTTTGAGGTCATCTGCATATGATAACCGAGGAGCTTATCATAAACAATCCGTTAAACAGGTTAAACAGTGGCCAGTTATAGCAGTTATAACATGATATAAGTTATTATAACATGTGATAACTCTGTAGTCTGAACGGGGTATTATATTGTTTCTTTTTCGAATAGGGTAAATGTTTGGTAAAGTTATGTAGCCGTGATTGAAGCACTTAAGTCACAGAAAAGTGTCACTCAAGAAGGACGGGGATACAAGACTTCGTTTCAATTCTATGTCTAGTAGGATACTCGCGGCTTACCCGAGGTTAGAGGGGTACATTGTCGATAGGAGGAGCTTGGGAGTAGGGTTTCGTTGTCTCATCAGAGCGATGTCGCCAGTATGAACGGTAGTGAGGTTCTAGATTCGTCTGGAGTTCGACCGGCTATAGTTACCAGTGTGCGACGATGAGACTCATCGAGACGGGGGGACAAGACAAACAAAAACTAATAAAGAGATACAAAAGACAAACGAATTAAATTCTTATATTAGACATTTGCAGAAACACATAAATCGACTGCATATAGCAGAGATCGCGGGTACCCAAGACGTTTCTGATAGGGATATAGGGTTGTCTTCCTTGGGCCTCGAGAGTATTCAAAAGTCGCTCTCTGGTGGCGTCATTATCCGTACATTGCCAAACTGCGTGATCGATGTCGTCGTAACTGTTTCCACACCGACATATGTTGCTGTCCTCGAGATTTATTCTATTGAGATGCGTATCTAGCGAGTAGTGGTTGGACATAGTAAATAAAAGTTTTATAGTAACTTTTTTTTCCTTTGGTCTGTTTTCCGTCGATCCTGTTTTCCGTGCTGAGCACTAATGCTACCGACGCCAGGAAGGCAGCTCCCACACCTGGACCCTACCTATCGACCCATCAACTCATGAACCGGGGACCAACGGCTTTACTTCCCTTCCGAAGGAAGGCGTGATCAGAGATGTTATGCCTCAGAACAATCCGGCGGCGCCGACTGGGATTGAACTCAGGCCTGCTGGGGTTTTATAGTAACTAAACTTATGGAATAATAGGATGCGAAGGAGGGGAGGGGGTCTCACACATCCATTTCATGTGTAAACACTATGGATTTGAATTGTGACACACTTGGATTCTATGTACCTCATATGGTGATATCAATAGCTTTGCACATCATAGTTCAATATTCTACAATATTCTACTTTATCGACTTCTGCTTTGCCGACTCTAAAAATAAATCGACAAATATATAAACAAAACTGCCAGAGGCCAGAGCTTTCACATATCATTTTAATCGACGCTTTACGATGTATGAGAAAATTACACTTATTCAGTTTGTCCTTAGAAACAGCGGAACAAATGTGCATCCATCGATCTTAATGGGCTTAATAAGCACATTATTCTACAACCCGTTTTATTCAGCATTGTACACTGTTATGCAGCATTAATTCATTATATTTGCTTATTTGCGACTCTGAATTGTTTGTTGGGAATGACATTTCATATTGAAACACTGGTTGAAAATGCCATCACTATTTCCGATGACGGCACAGATTCCGCCATTAATCCGAGCATTAATCAACCCTTCAATCTCAGAGAGCTTGGTTTTGCCCTCTCTACAGCCAAAGGAAGCTCTGTCGGTCCGGTTGAAGTAGTCTACCCAGTCCTTAAAAACCTACTCACGGTAGGCAGGATCAAACTGCTAGAACTCCTCAACATGGAGGGGCAGTGGAGTCATGGCCTGGTTATTCTCATCAAGAAGATCGACAAATCCGGCAGATCACCGGGGATTTCCACCAAATCTCGCTCACTTGCCGCAGCTCTAAAATCATGGAGCGGATGATTAATCGTAGACTCATGAGTTTCCTTATCGACCACCGTCAACACGCGCACAACCGGGTCTGGATATCGGAGGTCATCCAACAACTAGCCAACTGGGGGCTAAAAGGCCAATTCTCCACATCGCCAAATATTTTCTACATCACAAGTCATCATAGGCAATCACCGTTCGAGTACGTTCCGTGAGGAGACGGGTTTGTCGCACGGGTCCGTCCTTGTGGTCACCCTCTTCCTGGTCAGAATGAACGAAGTCTTCAGTAACCTGCGAGCGGGGATCCTAAGCTTCGTGTACGCCGACGACATAGTGCTCATGACCGTCAACAATACAATAAAAATCCTCCGCATTAAACTGTCCCAAGCCGGCAACCACATTCACCACTGGACCGGATTTCATCAATCGATGCCGACAGCCGCCAATCTTTGACGTAACCGATCACCATCGGGTCTCAGGCCATCCCGCAAAATAAAACCGTTAAGATTCTGGGAGTTCGGATTGACCGCAGCCTTTCTTTCGTATCCCACTTCGATGAGGTAAAATCGAACTGCCGGTCAAGGTTGAACCTTATTCGCGCGATCAACGTAATCCAGATCGGTAAAAATAAATGCCCTACCACTTGTACCAAATATGTTGTAAGAAAAAGGTACTAATCATATTTTTTTTTATTGGTATGCTGCAGACAAAGTAAAATGCCGTAATTTTGTTTTGTGTTGGTGAAATCAACCATGCTTTTATTCTATTGATTGATGATTAATTAGTCATCATGATTGAATTACATAAATCGTGCAAGATTTTTTGCTTTTATTCAATTAACTATCATTTAGGGTAGAGCACCACTTCGGCCTAATCGCCCATTTTGGGCCTATCGAGCAGAAAACATCAAATACATCCATTGTTTCAGAGTTTAGTAAGTTACCCAACAAAATTTTTTAGCTGCAGTCTAGCTTATGCAGGCAAAAACTAGCTTTATATGCCAAGCTTTTATTGTATAAGCTAATCTGCAGCTAAAACTGTTAGTTGGGTAATCCTGCGTTTGGTACGATACTTTAGTTGAAAAGCTACCGAACGAAGTTAACGAGAACGCGTGATATGAATGTTTACACCCGTTTTTCTCAAAAACAAAAGAAGCGCTCTGACCGAATCAATTTTTATCTTCATCCGATAGGCCGAAGTGAATTCAATGGCGTTTGAATAGCGTTTCAATGCATTAGGCCTAATTTAGTAAAGTTTGGGGTCAAGAAGCAGTGTTAGATTTTTAACAATATTTCAACAGACGGTTTGTACGGAAAGGTCAATAAATTTAAAAGTCATCTACAGTGAAAACATTCCATTTAGTGAAACAAAATCCTCTCGAACAATAGAGGCAAAGGGCGGTTTGTGCTTAGGAGCTCCAAAATTAGATCTTAGTCCTATCAGTATGACCACGAATTGATAACGACTGATAAATGGAGAAAGATTTCCGTAGAATTTTCCATATACATCTATGTTATCTCATCAGATGCTGTACGTTCATATAAATCTAAGAATTGACTCTAGTTTCAATCAGTGTTCAGCCGAGATGGCTACAAGGCAGGCTTGGAGATTGAAGTGCTTTGCACTTCTATTTTTGTTAAATGGAATATGTGCTGTTGATCATAGTATTTTTAAAAAGTGTCACCAAAGTGGATTCTGTCGGTTAGCTGTACTACTTGTGTTGTGTTGATTTATTTTTTATTCGTTTTAAATTATTTCAGTCGTTTTCGTCGTTTTGAATCGCAGGAGAGCACATTCCGTTTGGATAGCCATTCATTGAACATTCATGACAATGTAGTGTCGATGGATCTTCAAGATTCGGAAACGAACCATTGGTATATACTGAGTTTGAGCTCGATCCATGAAAAGATTTTCCATTTTGAAATCAACGAGAAACATCCACTAACGGATCGTTACCGTGTTACAGATGCCCTAGCTGGAGAATTGAATCCTCGAGGCATTCTTATAGAGAGCTCAAATTCCGTGATAGCAATTCGTGATGATAATAAGCGCGTGATTATTCAAATCGAACCATTCCGAATGGATTTTTACCATAAAAACCAGTTAATGGTATCTGTGAATGCAAAGGGAATGCTACGGTATGAATATTTAAGGGAGAAGCCTGCGAAGCCAGCGGATGGTGAATGGGAGGAAGAATTCAACGGGTTTGTGGATACTAAGCCAAGAGGACCGGAATCATTAGGGGTTGATTTTACTTTCCATCAAGCTGAAATTTTATTCGGAATTCCGGAGCATGCCGATGATTTTGTGTTGAAGGAAACTATTCGACAAGATAGTGATCCATACCGATTGTACACGTTGGATACGAAAGACTACGAAGTGGATAGCAAAATGGCGTTGTATGGTGCAATTCCGGTTTTGTATTCCCATGGAGCTTCTGGAAGTTCCGGTATATTTTGGCACAACTCAGCTGAAACTTGGATCGATGCCTCCTATGAAGATGACACCTTCGTGAACATCTTCTCCGAAAGCGGGATTCTGGACGCTTTTGTGATGCTGGGTCCCTCGCCAATTGAAGCATTCCAGCAGTACACTTTCTTAACAGGAAATGCACCTCTTCCACAAATGTATACTTTAGGTTACCATCAGAGTCGTTGGAATTATGATAATGATTCGGATGTCGCCATGATAGATAGCAAATTTGAAGAATACGGTATTCCACTGGACACTATTTGGTTGGACATTGAGTACACCGATGGAAAACGTTACTTTACATGGGATCACGAAAATTTCCCTAATCCTATGGAGATGATCAGCAACTTGACGAAAAATTCACGGCATTTGATCTTGATCATTGATCCCCACGTTAAAATAGACAAAGATTATTTTTTCCATCAGGATTGTACTTCTCGTGATTATTATGTGAAAGATAGGAACGGCGAGGACTTCAGAGGGCAGTGCTGGCCAGGACCTTCTAGTTATACCGATTTCTTCAATCCTGATGCCCGGAAATACTATGCGGATCAGTATCTGTTGGAAAACTTCAAGGAGTCATCCCTTGTGGTTAACGTGTGGAATGACATGAATGAACCGGCAGTATTTGAAAATGTTGAAGTAACCATGCCCAAGGATAATCTACACTATGGAGGCTGGGAGCACAGAGACGTGCACAATATGTACGGTTTCTATCATACTATGGCCACTTACGATGGACTCACGCGTAGAAACGAAGGTCTGTATAGACCATTCGTTTTAACAAGATCATTCTTCGCTGGTTCACAAAGATATTCAGCAGTGTGGACCGGAGATAACACGGCTGGCTGGGATCACCTACGGCTATCGATTAAAATGTGCCTATCTCTATCGGTATCCGGAATCAGCTTTGTTGGTGCAGATGTAGGAGGATTTTTTGAGCATCCTAGTGCAGAGCTGATATCTCGTTGGTATCAACTAGCTGCATTTCAACCGTTCTACCGAAGTCATGCCAATCAAGATACACCTCGTCGAGAACCATGGATGTGGCCTACGAACGTTCAGATTGCAACCAGAAATTCTATTCAAAAACGTTACAGTATGTTGCCATTCTGGTACACCTCATTCTTTGAACATGAACGCAATGGAGCTCCTATCATGCGGCCTATGTTGACTCAGTATCCAAATGATCCAGTCACGTTCAGAATTGAAAGTCAATACCTTCTGGGTGATCAGTATCTTGTAGCTCCGGTTTTATACCCCGGCCAAACGAGTGTTAACGTTTATTTTCCATTGAAAGAAGACGGACGTTCCGATCTGTGGTACGATATAGATGATTTCCAACTTTACAAAAATTCTGGGTTTGTGTCGATACCGGTTGATGAGCTGAAAATTCCGGTCTTCCAAAGGGGTGGAACAATCATTCCAATAAAAAGAATCGCTCGTAAATCGAGTATGCTGATGAGAAGCGATCCATACACATTAGTAGTTGCATTGAATTGTGATGGCTATGCAACGGGAACTTTGTATGTCGATGACGAGGAAAGTATGGAGTATCGCAATGGGAAATATCTTTACAAACAATTTGAGTTCAAAAATAACACACTCTACTCAAGGTTTGTTGCATGGAATTATATGTTAGAGCAAATTAATAACAATTTTACTTTTCAGAACGATTGATGTTACTGCATCATATGACACTGATACAAAGATTGGTTCTGTGATCATCATAGGAATTGACAACTTGGTATCATCAGTCAATGTATACTCGAAGGGTCGAGATAACAGAATCACTCATTTTTCTATGGATCGAACGACGCTTGCAGTGGAAAACATATTGCTGTCAGTTGACGATGATTGGAGATTAGAGTTGAACTAAGAGCTGATAATGATGATATTGCTTATGGTGTAAGATGAATGCTAAAAATAAAACAAGAGATGGTAGATGGAACTTTTTTAATTATTGTTGTCCAAATTGATGGTGTACATTTATTTGCTTTATAAATGTGACTGTCTTTCCGATTCAACACTAGAATTTTGATCTAATAACAAACTGAAGAAGTGTAATTTGCACATACATACATCGACGCTTTAATTTGACAAATTATAATTGATTTAATAACATGCTTTATTGTACGTCTAATAAATGTTTTCTAGCTCCATTATTAGATTTCATCGCATTACTTTACAATTATGCTGATTAAGGTGGATACAGTCAGCATAATAATTCATATACCACCATGTTGTAGTTGCATGCTTTGTAAATGCTTTATAAACGCCGTATTGGATTTATTATTCTACTACACTGGTTCAGCGCAACAACAAGACAAAAAGTAGAATAGTGGTAACCGTTTCTGCTTTCCAAGTAGAAGGTCGCGGGTACATTCCCAAGCTCAACCCTTTAAACTTAGAAATGTAGAATCACATTATTATAAAAAAATCTATCAAACGAAATCATAGGTGCATCTTTTTCATTTTGTAGCAGTTCCATGCCAAATGTCACATCAGAAAAACTCGAGCTTCTCCGATTTGCATAAAACTTTACATAGCTGTGTATTAATGTCAATCACATAGGACCAAAAGTTGATGTTCTACGATTTTTGTCAATTTTCAAGTGTTCATGGTTAGCGGCGCCGGTGTGGTAGTGGTAAGCGTGATTGCCTCTCACCCCAGCAGGTCTGGGTTCAATCCCAGTCGGCGCCGCCGGGATGTTCTGAGGCAAAACATCTCTGATCACGGACGGGAAGTAAAGCCGTTGGTCCCCGGTTCATGAGTTGATGGGTCGATAGGTAGGGTCCAGGTGTTGCCTCCCTGGCGTCGGTAGCATTGGTGCTCAGCACGGAAAACAAGATTGACGGAAAACAAACCAAAGGAAAAAAAAAAAAAAAAAAGTGTTCATGGTTTTAATACAGGGGTGGATCGCTCTTTTTTTAGACTTTTTCGTTAATTTTTAATATAGAATGCTAACGTTAAATCCATTGAATTTTTAGTTAACCCATATTTAAACAAAATGTCTAGTGCTATTAATCTCCCTATCAAAATTCAAAATATCCGCACCGTAGAGCCACACTCTGTGTTTTCACTGATGGTACACTTGGGAGCGCTCTCGAGTGTAGCTTCAGTATAAACACAGAGTGTGGCTCTACGGTGCGGATATTTTGAATTTTGATAGGGAGATTAATAGCACTAAACAATCTTTTTTTTTTAAGATGGGTTAGCTGAAAATTCAATTGGATTTAACACGCCAATCTATCCAGCACACAAATTTAACGAATTTCAAAGTTGATACGTTTTTTGGTTCAACCGGTTTAAACATTTAAGTATAAGCATTTAAGTGAAAATGAGAGGTACGTTAAAAATGAATTACATATTCGTAAAGTACGCCTTTGGTACATCACATTTCTGTGGAAATTGTCGAAATCGTATGTCTATCCAGCGGGACACGGGTTTTCCGGGAAGCGTTCAAAATCCTTGAAGGTACGCTATGGTACGCTATTGGTACATTCCAAAACACGTATCTACTTTTGAATTTTTTGGCAAATTACTAAAAAAACATTACTGTGTAAATTTATTTTTCAGATATATTGCAAGGGTAAATGGCTAAGGTTTAGTCAAACTATTTTTACTTGTCATTGAACGATACGAGAAGCTGTTTATTTTTCTGAACAACTTTGTCTCAGACGTCATTTCGATCAGAAGTGATGTTTTCGTGCTTTAAACGTAAAATGTCAAAGACTCCACTTTTTAAAATATTACAAAATCCAAAACGGCCGAATTTTTGCAAAAAATGTGAATGATTGTCCATACCAAACAATTAACTATGCAAAGCTACATGCAAATCGTAAAAGGTCGAGTTAAACATATATTTATTGCTAGTTGGCCTGTAACTGGGGGTCTATTATCACCGTCACTTCAGCTGGTGATCACTTCACTGGAGCGATTATGAGTGTCACTTGAGTCACTTTTTTTTCACTTGGTGATGGAGTCACATCACTGGAGCGATTACGGCGTCACTTTTTGTCACTTAGTGACGAGAGTCACGTCACCGGAGCGATTATAAGCCTAACCCTTTTTTATCACGATAACAAAAAAGTGAAGTGACGGGACGGTGATAATATAGGGGAAAAGTTGGCTTCGGCAATACCTTTACCAATTATCGTCAGGTGGTAAACAAAGTCCTAGAGCACTCAAATTTGGCGAATAGTTGCTCTGAAACACAATGTACATACCAAAATTGAACTCTCAAAGACGTTGTTTACCTCCCAGTCGATAATAGGTTAAGGTATTGCCGAAGCCAACTATTCCCCTACCTCCGCGGATTGATTAAATGCGTCAAAAACGCGAAAAGGCCTCCCCAAATAGCGAATCTCCGCTGAAGGTTGTGTGAACAGAGAATTACGGGAACATCCATTAATGACGTAGCATAATTTTGACCAATTTCAGGCCTCCTCATCGTAGCGTATTTTGTCATACCTAATACAAGGTCGATCAAAACTAGAGAATCTCCCTCCCCATCAAAAGCTATGTCATTTGTGCATGTTCCCTCAAACCATTTTTAATTTCGTCGACCTCAAACATGGATTAACAATAGAAATGGGCTCATCAGCATTTGTTAACAAGCCGTTCTTAAGCGCTTTACTCTCAAAATGAAGGCCGTCTCACAAACCAACACCACAGACAAACATACATAACTCTTAGAAGGAAATTCTTCAAAAATATCGTCAAGCGTATTTTGCATGCACACTAGCTTCCTCTATCATACACATTTCCAACCATTGGTTTTTAGTCGGAGCATCCCCAGTTCATGTAATTTTTTCACAAATAGCTTTTCCCTTGATCTGCTGTGTTGAATGAAAACAAAACAGATGGAAGTCAGTGATGTTGGTTTGATTGAATTTTGCAGAAATACGAATCCATAGGAGATATTTGCTGAAACTTATTAGGGATTTGTTCAGCCTACAGCTAAAATAAAGAATAAAAAAAAATGGGATTTGTTTAGTTTGTTTAGTGCGTTTTTTCTTTTGCTGCAAACAAATTTTCAAACGTGGTAATGCATCACTAATAAGTGCCATTTCTACCACCGCCCAAATTGATGTTAAATTGATCCGATGCGTGAACGAAGATACACAATGAAATGTTACGTCTGTTTGTCTGTGATATTATGCTGTACGATGTACACAGAATTTGAGAACAAATCGTTTCGATGACTGTAATTTTTCTATCAACGTTTACCAGTTATTGATGTTCAATACATCAACATTCATATTATTGATTGATACATATTATATTTTTTTACTGTGTACACATCAAAGTTTATACATTCTATTGAACTCTTATGCAATATTGTTTGCGAGTTCATACATTGTATTGAACTCTTATACATACTATTGAACTCTTATGCAATATTGTTTGCGAGTTAACGAGCAAGCTTGTTTTACGCGGGAAGCCCGAGAGATGTCGTTACTAAGGTCCTATGTTTTGTGATACTATGTGTCCACTCACGGACACTGAAAATGGTGTGGAAAATCCTTTGCTAGGAGGATCCCAGGTGTCGAACCAATTCCCTCTTCAAGAGGAATACCCCCTACAAATGCTCGACTTGCAGGGATTATCCCATTGTGAGCCTTGAGAAAGGCTGATTGTTTTCGGCTTGTCACGAAAAGGAGAATGCGTATTTGTTTAGTTTAAAACTTTGTATTAAATGATCCGTTCGATACAATGATTGGTACACGTATCTGCGCTTTGCGCGAAAGGTGGCTACTTTTATATGCTAAATGCTTCATCTTCTTCTCATCTTTTGCTATCGTGGCTGCTACGCTAAGGTATGAAATCCTTCTAGTGGGAGGAGCCAATGCTTGCGGCAACATGCCCACTTTGGGTAGTGCGTGTGTTGAAGTGGAAAAGGGTTGAAGTTAGTGGGGTGACCGATTACCCGCGGTCGGCTCGTGTTTAATGGATGGGGTTAATGGATGGGACAAATAATATGAGACGAAAAACGGGGATCAATCTAATACGCACTAATAAGAATAAATACAAGAAAATCACACAAAACGTTCACATCGTGCGCGAACACTATGTTTTCAAGAAAATCTTTTTCAAAGCGATACGTCTGTTTCTCTGTGATAATATTAGATAAGCGGAATAACCAATGTTCAGCCGTTTGGATGTAATATTTAACTACTTTTTATTCTGTATTCGACAGATGTGGTGTGTCTCCAGTGTGATGTCTTCGCCTTATCATTTTCAATAGCTAACTCTACTAAATTACCTAAAAAGAACTGGCATCACTGATAAGTTCGAAATGTGGCAGCTTGCTTAACACTTCAGTGGCGCCACCATAACAAATGCGAGCACATTCCCAACTAAAATCTTATTTGCGATGAATGTCCCAACAAACATTGAATGTTGAATAAGAGCTTATTCAGGTAGAAACAAGCTTCTTCAGCTAAAAAATAGATTATTCAGCTGTTGATCAACTCAAATTGTTTGTTGGGGTGATTGTGAGAGTTATGTCTATTTGTCTGTGTCAACACCATCATTGGATAGGGGAAAGTTTCCCCCACACGTCGATGGTGTTGGTTTGCGTGTGCGGCTTTCTAGAAATTTCGCAATCAATTCCATCACCTTGGAACATACACTAATCTTGATTTCAATAACTCTTCCTCTGATGTTTAATGTTTATTCCTTTGTTCTAACTTTGTTTAAAAAACACAACTACACACTTAGAAATACCTAATCTTACACGTGACGGAATCCATCTTTGACATAAAGGATGAGACGTAAACAAACATGTCATGTAAAATTAAGTGCTCCGAGACTGAATAGTTTGATAGTACGTTTGATTGAGCTGAATTTCACGTCTATTATGACTTAATTTTATGTCAAAATTGA